CTGTGCACCATTTCAATCCCTCTTTCCAGAGCCCTTACTCTTTTTAGTCACTCCTTGGAGCATTTGTGGAGCACCTGCTATGCACCTGATTCTGTGCCTTCTCCACAAAAGTCTTTCCTCCCCATGGATGGAGGATCCCCACTCCCCTTCCCCAAAAGATTTTTCTCCAATGATCCAGTGATTATATGCCCATCCCTAGCCCTCCCTCCCCAAATACCTTTTCCCTGAATGGATTCAGTGTGCATTTATTCCCTGTCTGCCAGGTGCTCAATTCTAATCACCTTCCCCCAAAGGCCTTTTCCTCCAATGAGAGCATGTATGGAGTCACTTCTGTATACTCTATGTTCACACCTCCTCGCCAAAGTCCTTTTCTTCCAGTGGATCCAGTGAGCATGTATGTGTGTAGGGAGGATGTGCCTGTTGTGTGTAGGGAGTACATTCCCCTTCATTACTCTTAGGAGAACCTGCACCGATCATAAGCCTCTCTCCAGGGTCCTTCATTTGATAAGTCTAGAGCCCAGTTTTTAAGGGTTACCCCCTTTCCACTCCCTTCAATGTCCTTGGGATTCTCTCTCTCACTCTTAAGTCGATACCCCAAAGGATCTTCTTTCTATTTAAGCCACTAAACGTTTATTGAGAGCCTACTATATAAAGGTCATTCCAAATCTGGAAGTTTTGCCCCTGTCTCAAGTGCTACCCACCCCCAAGGGGTCTACTTCAGTCTAAATATATTGATTACCATTTCTTTACTATTTAGATAACCACACCCCCAGGAACCCTTACCCAGCAGCTTTACTATTCAGAGCCATTTATTCATTCTATAGATATTAAATGCATACTTTTCATGTGTCAGAGTGTGGGAGGCATTTATTAAGCACTACTATATTCTAGGACAACCCTCCTTCACTTCTTCCCTCTAATCCTAAACATAAACTGGATTCTCTATCTTTTCCTCTAACGCCACAGTTCTTTAATGAGCACTTATTGTATACTTCTAAGAACCTCTTATTCAATGCCCCTTCTCCTACCCCTCTTGTAGCCCTAATTCCCCTTTCAATAATCTTCACCCTGCCTTCCACACTACACAATCCTGAAAGCTCTTAATGTGCACCTATTATATTCTGGCCAGGTCCCCTCCCCCACTTAGTAACCATTTTCTCAATTAATCCAAAAGTCATTTATCAATCTCTTACTGTATTCTGTTCAAACAGCCACATTCCCATCCCTGCAGCAGGCCCTCCCAGTCTTTTCTCCAACAATCCATAAAGCATTTGTTGAACACATGGTATAATTCCTTCACCAACACCCACTCACACAGATGCCATCTTTCTGGCTAAATTTGCTCCATTGACGTCAACAAACCTTCATGAGGCCCCTTCTGAATATTGCTAACCACCCTCCTTCAGACTTCCCTTCTTCACTCTGACCCTCCAGGCAGGTGCTTTCTGCTTTTTTCTTCATTCCAGCAAGCATTTATTAATTACCTATTGAATATTGACAAGACCTTTCCCCTGTCCATAATCACAACGCTAGTGTTTCTCTTTTTTTCTTCTAATTTGTCCAGCAAACATTTATTGAGAACCTGCTGAATTCAGTGAAAGATTCTTCTCTTCCCCTTCTGCATCCCAGAACCACCTCCGCTTTATCCCAGCAGCTGCTCTAGTCTTTTCTTCCAGTCAATCTAGCAAATATTTATTTGGTATCTACCATAGGTGGAGCAGAATGAATAAAAAGAGAGACCCTGTGTACACCAGGCTCAGTATGAGGAACAGATACCTCTGCATCACCAACTTGCAGACATTCATGCAAGTTTTAGGGATCTCAGCCTGGAATAAAGGAGGAATTGTGCAAACTCTACGGGATTATACACCTAAGTACAGTCTGACACCCTTCCTGCCAAACTTCACCACTCTCATTCCTTTTTGGGTCTTGAGTTCTCCATGATTTAAAGTTGAGACTCATCTACCCTTTTTAGAGATAATTTAGTCCAGTGTTTTCCAAACTGTGGGCCACCTATTTATTGGCTTGTGACCAGCATTTCATTTGCTTCATGAAGTAGGATAAATGAAAATAGAAAATAAAAGAGTATATTGCACATAGTAAGTGGAATTATTATTTAGTAAAACTGTTACTCCAATAAGAAATATAATCAAGCCCTAACCAGTTTGGCTCAGTGGATAGAGTGTCAGCCTGCGGACTGAAGGGTCCCAGGTTCGATTCCAGCCAAGGGCTTGTACCTTGGTTGCGGGCACCTCCCCAGTAGGAGGTGTGCAGGAGGCAGCTGATCAATGTTTCTGACTCTCTGTCCCTCTCCCTTCCTCTCTGTAAAAAATCAATAAAATATATTTTTTTAAAATAAATATAACCAATAATATATGCCATATATTGTATATGACATATACTATATAATACATCTATTATATAATGGGTTTATAGTATATAATGCATATATGTGTGTGCTTTTCTTCATGAAATGAAATAAAATAGAATAGGAAATTTCAGACTCCATTGCACATAGTAAAGATAATTATTTACTGAAACTTTCATTCTGATTACCCTATATAATAAAAGTCTAATATGCAAATCGACTGAACTTTGGAATGACTGGTCGCTATGATGCGTAGTGACCACCAGGGGGCAGACGCTCAATGCAGGAGCTGCCCCCAGCCCACAGGCCCCAGGCCAGCCAAGGTGGGTGCCAGTGGTCCCCCCACCATCGCCCCTCCAGTCACCCCACAGATCAGCACTGATTGCCAGCCAGGCCTAGGGACCCTGCCCATGCATGAATTTCATGCACTGGGCCTCTAGTATATGTATATTTAAACACATTCTACTATACATTCTGGATACATCTACACATAATATGTAATATGCCATATATTGTGTTATATATTATATAAGACATCCTATTTTATGTTTGCTGTATAACATATTATATGTGTCTTATATAATATGTGTTACATATATAGGGTGGGTTATTATGTAAATATATAATGGGTTATATAAACTATATTTATTATCATGGCTTCTTTTATGTGACTTCCCTAGAAGTAGATCTTGAGGCTGAGATTTGCGTGCAGATTTCTTGGGGAGAGCTCTGAGGAACAACACCTGTTGCGGGGGAGGTGTAGGGGAAGCAAGAGTTGGCAGAGGGAAAGGTTGAGCTATGATGCAGCCATGACAGAGGCCTCAGACGATCCTCTGAGGAGCTCTGGAGCTGAGAGGACACTCTAGAGTTACCCCCAATGGGGTTGAGGTAGCCATGCTTCTGAATTCCTGCATCAGCCCATCATTGACCACAGGCTGTCCCCTGGGAGGAGGAACAATCTTGGGGAAGGCAAATTCGTGCTACAGAGGGCAATTCCCAGGGTGGGACAGCACTGTGAGGCTTCAACAACAGCTGTTCCAGGAAGCTGGGGGATAGATGGGAAGGCCTGAGGAGAGGGGGGTGAGGATCTGGATGAGCACACAGTCTACCCTTTGTACTACTCAGATTCACTTGCTTCTTAGAGTAAGTTCACCCAATCTGAGAACAGCATTTCCAGGATTGTAATTGACCTTGTTTTCTGGGAGAAACCTGAAAGAGCATGGTTGGTGGGATGAAATACAGCCTCCACTGCCACAGTTGATAAATGAAGCATAAATAAATGATATGTATTGTCTTCTTCTATACATTCTAAATTCCCCTCACCCTCAGATGGAACCTCTCTTGGTCTTGGTGGCTTACCTGGTGCATGATCCATTCCCTCATCCTTGAGAGATCTCTGAGCCCTTGAGAGATCTCTGAGCCCATGCTCTCCTCAGGCTGTGGCTGCTATTCTTGTCCCTTTACCATCAAAGTTAAGCAAAGAATACCAACAGATACCCAAGCAGATCACCTAGGTTCCTCCGTGCCCCCACTGTAACACCAGCCCTGCCCCTTCTGATGATCAGGGTCATGTACCCCTGCCCAGATAGTGACTCCTCTTCATGTCCATTGGCATGCAAAACCTGAAGTGTCCAGGTAGCACTCAAAACTTAGAATGTAATGGGATTCTTGCTGTGTCTCCTAGTAGTAGTGTCCCCCCTGGAGAACCAGGACCTCTAACCTTGCAGAGCTCTGAGGAAACAGGAGACACACATTCCAAAAGTGGATCACTGAGATTGATGGTAAGCTGGGCCACTCTACTTTCACCTCTGGGTTCCCAGACCCATGTATTTTACCTATTAGAAACACAGCACAAACAATGGTCATTGATTTAGGGTGTACACTAGTTTTGAAGGATGGTGCCCCATTCGTGCACGGTATCACCTCCAAGCTGGGGTCTTAGCTGTGGCTGCAAGAAGTTGTTCCATAACAATGAGGCCAGCAACTTCTGGGTGCTGTGGTATATAGGTCCTCTGTTGAGTCCATGGTCATGGGCCCACTTTTGCACCTCCTTTCATGATTGATGTAATGTTTTGTGGGATCCCATACTGTGTAAGCCCTTGAACAGTGATGCTGTCTCAGGTCCTGCAGTCAGGAAAGGCAAACCCATACATAGAATATTCCAGTCAAAATTAATCATTACTCTTTCCAGGGTGGAAGAGACCACAAAGTAGCTGGTTGGTCTTCTTGAGTGATGCTGCCATGTCAGGGATTCAATATTGGTCTCTGTTGCTGGCAGGTTGAATATTCTTCAATAATTCTGTAGACCCTCACATATAGCTTCTATCTCTGTTCCTCTTGCCATTTCATACATGTGCTCAGCACTGGGGCGACTGAGTCAAGAGGCTGGCTGACATCATCTAGCTGACTCATTCTATCTACCTGATTGCTTAGTGCCACTTCTGTGGCGGATGCTGTCTGGTGGGTGTTAACATACAATACAGAGATCTTTTCTCCTCTTTCCACTTCATCTCCACTCCCATATGTCCACCCACATTTTTGTGTCCCAGACCTCCTTGTTCTAATCTTTCAATATATTTCTTTCAAAGCCTCTGACAAATCAGCCAAGCCATTCACCACCAGTGAATAAATATATATTCTAATCTTTGGCCACTTCTTTTTCCCCAAAAAGTAGATGGCCAAGGGTACAGCTCACAGCTTTGCCCATTGGGAGCTCTGTCTCTGTTTTCAAGACCGCTCTGAATGGGACTATGGTGCAGCCACTGTCCATTTTTGTCTTCCACCCACATACCAAGGCAATCTATTTGTGAAGCAAGCTCAGACTTTTTCTTCCTTTATCCACTGGTTGGATAAAGGAGTCCCCTTAGTGAGCTGAGGGAGGCAGTAGCAATAAGGTGGATGACATGAGCATCTGGGTTACTTGCTCAGGCAGCTTGCTTGGTATCCTGGCTGCTGGACCCATCTGACTGTATTACTTGGCAGGCCTGGCAGGATCTAGCTTATACTGGACACTTCTGGGTACACAGTTACTTGGTACCCCCTGGTCAAGTAACTGTGTATCAGGGCCCAATATTACACCAAGATTTGTTTCTCAAGAGGCGTGTAATTCTATGCTGCAGATGGCATGGCCTTGCTCCAGAGCCCCAGCGGCCTCCCACTCGAGCTTCTCTTAAGCTTCACATTGTATCTTTTTCCACTGTTGACACCTCCGGTGTCATAGGATCTGATGGATCGAATGACCTGAGTGGCAGGACTGCTTGCATCACAGCCCGGAGCCGCTGCCTAGCACTTGGAGTCAACACAGTCTGTCGGGGCTATCTGTGCTCCACCCCTGACAAATGATGGTTTCACGTTGCCTGCTAGCTGCCGGGTGACTCAGCTCCAGAATAGCATTAGAGTCTTTGTCATTTGACGTCTCTGGCCCACTGTTTTAGGTTGGGATCTCTGGAAACCGGTTTGGAAGCAGAATTTTGCATGTGGGAAGCTCATTGCAGAGTGCCTTTGGGATCAACATCTACCTGTAAGGACAGGGTTGGGCAGACAGAGAAGTTGGTCCCCAATGTGGTTGTATCAGAGGCCTAAGCTGGTCCTAGGGGGAGCTCTGGGGCTGGGAATAGTCCTTTGAAGTCAGCCTATATTGAGGCAAACAGGCGGCCTTTGTCCTCACTGAGACCAGATATAAGCCACGCGCTGCCCGAAGTAGGTATAACCTTGGCTAAGGCAGTTCCCTGTAACAAAGAGAGTTTCCAGTTGGACACAGCCGTAAGCTGTCAACAACTGATATTCAGGGGGCATTGGCCCTGAAGAGAAGATCTGAGCAGAGTACCCACTATACTTATGGGGGGGGGGGAGTTTAAAAATAGTGATATAGTTTGCACTTGTCATCATTTTATTTTTTAAAATGCACATATCTAAAAAAGATTCTCTTCCAGCACTTGTGAGGGGTCATTGTCAGTAATGGAGGGTGTGTGTGTGTGTGTGTGTGAGAGAGAGAGAGAGAGAGAGAGAGAGAGAGAGAGAGAGAGAAAGAGGAAATAACTGTGTTTGAGGTCTTTGGGCATGTCATTCTAGGCACAAGGGCCTGTTGCATTGTGTGTATGTGTCAGAGACCCTGATTGTCTGCATGTCGATGACCCCAGGAGTGACTTCTCCCCTTGTCTCATGTCTGTAAAAAATTGGGGATAAGCTTCTGTCTGTGGAGAAGCTTATCAGGTAGGAAATCCTGGGCCTGGGGGAAGAGGCCACCGGAAACCTAGCCCTGCTGGGGATGGGCATAGGGACAGTGACATAGCAGTTCATGATGTGCCTACTGCTGCTCCTACCCCTCTTCCCTCCTATGGTTTCCACTCATCCTCAGTTGATTCCCCGCCACCCCCACTGTTGCAGTCTCCGGCTTCTGTGGAACCACCACCAGCCTGCACCCCTCAATCTGCTCCTCCTTTTCTGATACTCGTGCCCCCCACCCATGGCTGTTCTGTCCTTCACGGCACACGGCCGGCCACACATGGTGAATGCACTCCTCCTTGGGAAAGGGCCAGAGTACAGAGAGATGCTTCAGGCTGTATAAGCAGATACAGGCACTGAGCCATACCCAGGCGCACGTCATATGTTTGTACTCTCTAAGATTCTCTGCCATTATAAACTCCATGCAATTCCAAAGTATGTTACAGTTTACAAAGCACTCCTCATTTTTCGGAGCTTTCCAAAAGCATTTATGATAGCAGTGTTGCAAGCAGACCATACTTTAAGAAATATCTGCCTCTGGGGTTTAAGGACTTTTTAAAAAATTTGCAGTGTTCTTTGACATTTACACACCTCCATGAGGAATACTTTATTGTTCACAAAGCACTGTTTGAGTTTTCAAAGTATTTCAACCATCATAACAATCACTGTATGGTTTCTCTAGAGACGCTGCAGGGGCAAAGGGGTCAAAGGACTGGCCTGGGCTTTGTCTTCCTGAGATTTGAGCATTGATGGATGTGTTCTGCTTTTCCTCTTCAGGGCGAAATACTTCAAAGGGAAAAAGCTCCATGGAGAAATTGACATTAAAGTAGAACAGGTTAGTTGCGACAGGTGGACCTGGGGATCAACTGTCCGGATTGCAAACTGAGTGGTCATTTTTGTGTGATGTGAATGAATCACTGATTTTTTTTCCTTTCCAGGCTGAATTCTCTGATCTCAATCTTGTGGCTCACGCCAATGGTGGGTTCTCTGTGGACATGGAAGTTCTTCGGAATGGGGTGAAGGTTATGAGGTGAGTACAAGAAGGGTACCTTGGTGTTATGGGAGAGGTATAAGGACTCCCTTAGATCTGACGGAGAATCTTCACCTCTGCACCCATCCTTCTGTGAGCAAGAACTTAGGCACATTACAGTAGACAAGCTATGGAAACAACTTAAGTGTCCATCGATGGACAAATGGATAAAGAAGATGTGAGATACACACACACACACACACACACACACACACACACACACACCACAGGAATATTATTCAGCCATGAGAGAGAAGGAAATCCTGCCATTTGTGATCACATATATGGACCTTGAGGACATTATATTAAGTGAAATAAATCAGAGAGAGAAAGACAAGTACCATATGATATCACTTACATGTGAAATCTAAAAGAGCCAAACTCATAAAAATAGAGAGTAAAATGATGATTACTAGTGGCTGGGACTGGGAGAATAGGAGAGATGTTGGTTAATGGTACAAACTTGCAACTGGTAGATAAGTCCTGGAGATCTAATGTACAGTAAAGTGATTATAGGCAACAATATTGTATCATAATCATCAAATATTCTAAGAAACTAGATCTCAATTATTCCACCACAAAAATGAAAGGATAATTGTGACACAATAGATGTGCTATTGCTGCAATGACAATCACATTACAATATATAAATGTATCAAATTAACACATCAGTTGTACACCTTAAATTTACACAATGCTATCTGTCAAATATATTTCCATTAAAAAAAACTTAAGCACAGAATGTGGGAAATAGCTTCTCTTCTGAAGAAGAGTCAAGGATCCCAGCAGACCACAAAGCAACTTTTCAATTATTGATTCAAAAATTATTTCTTGAGTATCCACTGTATACCAGGTGCTGCTCTCAGCATTTTACATTCAACAGACATTTATTGAGCACCCTTTGTGCCCAAGCACTGCTCTACATGCTGAGGACCTGGCAGTGAACAAAACAGACTCCCCAAAGACCAAAAAACCCACAAAACCTCTCTGCCCTCATGAAGCTTACATTCTACTGAGAGATACACACAATAAACAGATTACTTTAAAAATGTAAAAGTGCTAAGAAAAATATATAGCAGCAAAGGGATTGTTGGCTAGTGGAGTGACGAGGTCTTTTCCGCATCTGCAAGGGTTCAAGGAATCTGGAGAAGGGCTGTGCATAAATTAAGACTACAGAAGAAATATGAATTTGGAAGGCATTTCGGGGTGCCAGACAGAAACTTAGTTCTAGTGACTAAACTCTCCGAATCTCCGGACCCAGGGCTTTTTATTCTCACATTTTGCCCTATAGCAAAGCAGATACACATGTCAAAGGTAAGATTTGGTAAACAATAAAGTATTATCAGGTTGGGGAACTGCCCTCAGCTGTCTGGCAGCAGGCAGTAACATGCAGATCTTCAGCCCTGCTGCAGGTGTCCATCAGCCTTCTGATGAACTTCTTGCATAATTATAACCTGCTGGAATTTGCTTCCAGCAGTGGAGGAGTCTGAAATTTGGATAAGGTGGACCACTAGTTTAAGAGACATTTGAGGAAGACCTAAAGGAGGTGAAGGAGAGCTATATGCAGGTAAAGGGTGTCCCAAAATTCACGCAAGAAGTAATTTTGATAGAAAACACAGGTTTATAATTAAAAATTGCAAATTTCTTATTGATTCATAAAACATACCCGTTATGTATGAAATAGCATATCGGGTAAATGGCCTCCACAGCTTTGCTGGCACATACACACTCTTTTGTTATTGCCTGAGCAGCCGCATTTTCGAAGAAGAATGGTCCGATGATGCCTCCAGCCCAAATCCGCACCAAACAGTGACACGTTGTGGATGCATTTGTTTCTCAACAATCACTCGTGGATTTTCTGAACCCCAAATGTGACAATTTTGTCGATTAACCAAGCCATCAAGATGAAAATGAGCCTCGTTGAAATTCAGCCACATTTATGCAAAACCGTCATGGAAAATTTCAACAAAAGAGTGCGTTGCCGAAACCGGTTTGGCTCAGTGGATAGAGCGTCGGCCTGCGGACTCAAAGGTCCCAGGTTCGATTCCGGTCAAGGGCATGTACCTGGGTTGTGGGCACATCCCCAGTAGGAGGTGTGCAGGAGGCGGCTGATGGATGTTTCTCTCTCATCGATGTTTCTAACTCTCTATCTCTCTCCCTTCCTCTCTGTAAAAAAAAAAATCAATAAAATATATTAAAAAAAAAAAAAGAGTGCGTATGTGCCAGCAAAGCTGTGGAGGTCATTTACCCGATATGCTATTCCATACATAACCCTATACTGTATACTTTATGAATCAATAAAAATTTACAATTTTTAATCATAAACCTGTGTTTTCTATCAAAATTACATCTTGCGTGAATTTTGGGACACCCTTTATCTAGGGAGAAAATGTTTCAGGCAGAGTGAACACCTGTGTAAAGCCCCTGAGGCTGGACTTTATTCTGGGCAGCATCCTTTGAGAACAGCTAGTAGTCGGAGACATTGTGACCAGGGGGCTGTCAGAGCTGAGTAGGTAAGCTGGAAGCTGACCTGGTGAGGAGAGGAGCCGGTAGGAAAGGCTTCAAAGGGTCACCAGATGAGGAAAGGGTGCTTGTGGGGGAAGAACAGCTTGCGCATGTGTGCTGAGGTGAGAAGCCACTTCACAATTGTTAGGAGCTGTGGACATATGGAAACTTGATCTTTGTTGTAAGGGTGGTGGGAAGCTTCTGGGGGGAATCCTCAACACTCCTACCCCTCCACCCCAGGTCTCTGAAGCCGGACTTTGTGCTGATTCGTCAGCATGCCTTCAGCATGGCAAGGAATGGAGACCACCGCAGTTTGGTCATTGGGCTGCAGTATGCTGGAATCCCCAGTGTTAACTCTTTGCATTCTGTCTACAACTTCTGTGACAAGCCCTGGGTGGTAAGTGACAAGAAGGGTGCTATTGGCAGAGGGACTATCTCATGAATGCATGCGGGAGCTCAAAATCACTGTGATTTGGGGGGAACTGAGGGAGTTTGGAAGTTTGGAACCTCCAGCTTGGAGACTCCCTCCAGGCGAAGGACTTGCTTGACTTGTCTTTCTTGACTCTCATAGTTTGCCCAGATGGTTCGACTGCACAAGAAACTGGGGACAGAGGAATTCCCTCTAATCGATCAGACCTTCTACCCCAATCACAAAGAGATGGTGAGTCTGGGGGAAGTAGAGTGGGCAAGAGGGGAAAGCATCATGCCTACTACAATAGTTGCCAATGGATGTGTACCAATGGTACACTATCAGAGAGTGGCATGTGCTGTGGAGAGTGAAATTGCTTTGGGAAGGGTTTATTAATACAGTGAATTTACTTATGTGGTTACAAGTGTGATTTGTATCATTGATCCTGTAATGTATAGTATCTATTCTCACCAGTACTAAAAATAGATTTCTAGCCGAACCGGTTTGGCTCAGTGGATAGAGCGTCGGCCTGTGGACTGAAGGGTCCCGGGTTCGATTCCAGTCAAGGGCATGTACCTTGGTTGCGGGCACATCCCCAGTAGGGGGCGTGCAGGAGGCAGCTGATGGATCTTTCTCTCTCATCAATATTTCTAACTATCCCTCTCCCTTCCTCTCTGTAAAAAACCAATAAAATATATTTTAAAAAATAAAAAATAAAAATAGATTTCTAATATAAACTGACAGAACTAATATAATGAATCAGATTATATTACATATAGAAATTAAGTTATTGTTTCTAACATTATCAAATATTCCTCTTGATATAAATGTTACCAATATTTCATATTAGGATTGGCAATAAAAATTATTAGTAGTTGCCCTAACCGGTTTGGCTCAGTGGATAGAGCATCAGCCTGTGGACTCAAGGGTCCCAGGTTCGATTCCAGTCAAGGGCATGTACCTTGGTTGCGGGCACATCCCCAGTAGGGAGTGTGCAGGAGGCAGCTGATCGATGTTTCTCTCTCATCGATGTTTCTAACTCTCTATGTTGTAATGTACCCCACGAATCACAGGACGCCTCAAGAAGTCGAATTAAAGAGTCACATTTATTGCAATCCGGAACTATGAGGGGCCATTCCCCAAATCTCACAGTGATAAGATGGTGGCAAAACCAGACTTATATAGGCAAAGATCACAAAGGTATTGACTACATCTCAAGGTTTGGAATGAGGAACCTGGTTTGCAAAAAAGCAGTTTACAGAAGCAGAAGTAGCATGTGAATTATAGTTTCGGGTCTCGGGGTCACTGAGTTACCAGGAACACATTATCTAGAGCCCTCGGGTCTTGAGACCACTGGGTTGCCAGGAACTCATTATCTAGAGCCCTCGGGCCTGGAATGAGGAACCTGGTCAGACTTAAGCATGTGATCTAAATTACAGTTTTTGTTCTGGGTCTCCGGAACACTGAGTCAACAGGGACACGTTAACTGGAGCCCTCTGACCTTGGGATAACTGTGCTGTCCTTCCTAGGTAAAGGAAAATGTGCTTTCTAAGACCAGTATGACCACAACCCATGGGATATTCACATTACAATCAATAAGGCATTTAATCGAATGGGATGATTTATATAATTCAGAAAATCAAAATAACCTGTCCATTGTTAAGCAAAGCAAATAGGTACATAAGCCAAACAGCAGGGTTAAAGTTAAACTATAATTTCTACCTGAGATGGTTGCTACCATACTTCATCTATCCCTCTCCCTTCCTCTCTGTAAAAAATCAATAAAATATATTTTTTAAAAAATTTCAGTAGCAATGTTATACATTAGATTGTTTACAAATAGCAATTGAATTGTTTTTGCTATTATCATAAAATATAATCATTAATATTACAAATAATCACCAATACTGCAAATTATTGTTACTGATGTAAATCATTAATACCAAGGTTATGAATTAAATTATAGTTCCTAATAGAAATTGAATAACTAGTGTCATCAAAGATTATAACTATTATTACAATTATCAATATTACAAATTATGCTCTAATATTAATTATAAGTTCCTGTTTTGAATTACATTATACTTAGTGGTAGAAATTATATTATCATTACTAATACATCAAATATTATAACTAGCAATACAATTTATTACCAATGTTACAAATTGGAATTATCAATACAAGTGATTAGTACCTATGTTGTGAAATAAATTATAATTACTAAAATATATTAGACTATTAGTAAAACATTGTAAAATATTATTACAAATTATTGGCAATGTTACAAATTAAGATTACTAATATAAATTATGAGTAACTATGTTTTGAATTATAGTATAGTTACTAATAGAAATAATTATTAATATGGTTAAATTACAATTGTTATTATAAATAATTACTAATATTAAAGTTATGATTACTAATATAAATTATGAGTACCACAATTATGAATCAAATTTTAGTTACAAATAGAAATTGAATCACCATTATGAATGCTGTCAAACTTTAAAACTAATTTTTAAAAATTTAATGTTGCCTGGCTGGTGTGTCTCAATGATTGAATGTCAACCTATGAACCAGGAGGTCACAGTTCGATTCCTAGTCAGGGTATATGCCTGGGTTGCAGGCCCAATCCCCAGTAGGGGGTGTGCAGGAGGCAGCCAATCAATGATTCTCATCATTGATGTTTCTATCTCTCTCTCCTTCTCCCTTCCTCTCTGAAATTAATAAAAATATATTTTTAAAAATTTTTAAATGTTACAAATTATTTTTACTTATGTAAATAATCATTACTAGTTTTCTGAATTAAATTACAATTAAATATCAATATTGACCCAACATTGCCAACTTGGTTAAATAACATTGGTACTACTATTAAACATTTTTTTTTTGGTAGAAGCTAATTTTATTTATTTGACAGTGCAATCCCAAGGTACTATTAAACATTCTTACCAGTATTACAAATTATGATCACTGATATCAATTCACAGTGATGTACATTAAATTTACTTACAGATGAAGATCAAATCATTAGTTCTAAGCAAACCCAATTTATCATTATTATAACTTCACATTCTTTGAGAGATAGTATGGCTGACTGTGACTAAGAGTGTGGACTCTGTAGCCAGAATTTCTGTATTGGAAACCTAGCTACACAACTAATTAGCTTCCTAACATAGGAAACATCATTTAAATGCTTTGTGCCTCAGTTTACCCATCTGCAAAATGTGGGTAATAATAGTTTATGAATCATAGGGTTAGTATGATAATTAAATTGTTCAATGAGTGAAAGCAATTAGAACAGTGAATGTGTCATATATTAACTGCTACCCAAGTGTTGACAAAGTTCCCTTTTATTCCTAGTTTGTTGAGTGTTTTTTAATCATGAAACTATGTTGGACTTTGTTAAATGCTTTTTCTGTGTTTATTGATATGATCATGTAGATTCTAGCCTTTATTCTATGACTATGATGTTTGCATTAATTGATTTTCATGTAAGTTGAGCCACACTTGCATTCCTGGGCCAAATCCCACCTGATCTGATATACAATCTTTTTACATGTTGTAGGATTCAGTTTGTTAGTATTTTGTTGAGAATTATGGTATCAATAATCATAAGTTTGTTTATGATGCATTTAGAGGTAGATCTCTATGAGTTTATTCTACTTGAAGTTTAGTGCATTTCTTGAATTTATAGATTATTTTTTTAATAAGATTTGGGAGGTTTTCAGCCATTATTCCTTCCAAGATTCTTTATTGCACCTTTCTCTCTCCTCTCATTATGTGTGTATTGATTTGTTTTATGGTGTTCCACAGGCCTCTGAGGCCCTGTTCATTTTGTTCAATTTTTAAAATATTTTTATTGATTTCAGACAGGAAGGGAGAAGGAGAGAGAGATAGAAACATCAATGATGAGAGAATCATGGATCGGCTGCCTCCTGCACGCCCCACACTGGGGATCAAGCCTATAACCTGGGCATGTGCCCTTGACCGGAATTGAACCTGGGACCTTCAGTCCGCAGGCCAACACTCTATCCACTGAGCCAAACTGGCTAGGGCTCAGTTGCCCTATTTTAAATTCACTAATTCTTTCCTCTGCCAGGTCAAATCTATTGTTGAGCTCCTTATTTTCATTTACATTATTATATTTTTCAATTCCAGAATTCTATTATTTATCATTTCTATCTCTTTATTGATAGTCTCTATTTATTAAAACACCATTCTTATAATTTTGTTTAGTTCTTTAGACATGGTTTTCTTTAGCTCTTTAAAAATATTCTAAATAGCTGATTTATAGTCTGTCAATTCCAACATCTGGGCTTCCTCGGGGACATTGTCTACTGACTTCTTTATTTTTCTGTATTTGGGGCATATTTTATTGCTTCTTTGCATGTCTCATAAATTTTTGTTGAAAACTTAACATTTTAAATAACATAATGTGACAACTCTGGAAATCAGATTCTTCTCCATCCCCAGGGTATGTTTTTGTTGTTCTTTGTTTTTTTTAGTGATGTTTCTGAACTAATTCTGCAAATTGTGTATTCTTTGCCATATGTAGCCACTGAGGTATCTGCTTCATTAATTTAGTGGCCAGCTAGTGATTAGACAGGTATTTCTTTAAAAACCTAGAACCAGTACGTCTCCAAGCTTTTGCTGATGGGCTCTGTGTGCATGTTGGTGCATGCCTTCAGTGTTCAGGCAGGCTATTCACAACCTTGCCTTAGCCTTTACATCAGGAGTGGGGAATGTCTGGCCCTGCCAAAGCATTATGGGTGAGTTAATTAAATGTTTGACCAAATATTGCAAGCTAATTTTTAAGTTGATAATTTTGCATGGCCTGCTAATAGTGTTATAAGTATCCAAATGGCTCTTGGCAGGAAAAAAAGGTTCCCCACCCCAAGTTTACATACTACTTGTGCAGAGCCTTGAGGTCAGCCAGAGATCCCTGGCATGCACACAGCCTTATGCATATTTGTGCCTTTCTAGATTTCCAGGAACATGTCAGAGCTTTTCAAAGCCTCCTATGGAGCTCTCATTACCCATCTTTTCTGTTGGGTATTTTGGTCAGCTTGTTGTTTGTTATAACTGTAATCACTGCTTCAAGCACTTGCTATATTAAACAGTTGCTGCTGATTGTTTCTAAAAAGCAGCCTCAGGCAAAGCTGTTCATACCAGGTAAACTCTGAGTCAGATCAGATAGACAAGTCCTGTGAGTGGAGTTTTCTAGGAAAGTGAAAGTTCAAATATAGTTGTCTGAGAATGGAACTTTGAAGGGACCCCAACCCTGTTCTGCCTCCTGCTGTGGTTTCTAGACTGCTGGTTTACATCAGGATTGCAAGGCTCTTGCTTTTCAAGGCTGTTGTGGAAGTGGGGAGATGGGAACAGGGAAAGTTCAGATGGACAAAACTTACTGTTCTTTTTTTAAAATATATTTTATTGATTTTTTACAGAGAGGAAGGGAGAGGGATAGACAGTTAGAAACATTGATGAGAGAGAAACATCGATCAGCTGCCTCCTGCACATCTCCCACTTGGGGTGTGCCCGCAACCAACGTACATGCCCCTGACTGGAATCGAACCTGGGACCCTTCAGTCCGCAGGCCGACGCTCTATCCACTGAGCCAAACCGGTTTCGGCAAACTTACTGTTCTTAATGAGATTCAGACATTCTTTTAATTGTTATACACTTTGGGCAGTTTTAAAAGTTCTGGAAAAATTTAATTTTGATAATTTTTTGCCAGTATTCTCATTGTTTTGTGGAGGAGAGGATTTTTATAGGCCCCTAATCTCACCTTTCCACTGACATCACCTCCAGGCATATCTTGGTCTTTCCCAGACTCAGACCTAGGATAACAGTATTTCAAAGCCAAGATATGGCAGCTAGGTGTACTCATTATTACTGGATGTCCTTGCACCTAGGTTCCCTCATTGTACAGAGCCAGGAAATTGATAGTAAAGTTCAGATGGAAATACAAACATACAATAAAAGCCAGGAAAACCCTGAAGCTGGGGGCAGGGGATTAGTTGTACCAACCTACAAAAAGTCGAATGCTTCTGCCAGCAAATATGTATTGTATGAAGTTTTTCTAATTTAAACAGTGTAATGCGGACACATGACTAGACAGAGAGACTAAAGAAGGAAAAATTAGAAGTTCAATATAGATCCATTTGCATATGGAAATTTAGTGGGGGCTCTACAGTGTAATTGGGTTTGGTCCTCAGATTTTACCAATACTGGCATATAGTCCAGGTCCGGTTAGTGAGATGCAGGTGTCAGTCATTATTCATAAAATGAAAGGGCTGTTCTTATAGAAATTTGGGGTGGAGGAGAGATGTTTCAACATAAGGGGGAATATATTGGGAGCTGTTCCAGCAAGAATGTGTCAATCAATAGGGGCTGTATGGATGGGTGGGCTTTATGAATGGAATCAAACAAGAATCAGGAATTGAACTGGCAACCCTTCAGTGCATGGACAATGCCCCACCAACTGAGCCACACTGGCCAGAGGGGGAGCTGCCAAACTCTTGCAGGCAGCTGAGACAATAGTGTCACAGCCACAAGGGCCAAACCAGGGCCTAGGCTCTTCCCTTACAGTTGTACCCATCAGTGAAGGCTGCCATTCACCCCTTTTGGTAGCCAGGGTTCAGATCACCCCCAGGGCATAACCAAAGTCTACACGTTGACACAGAAATTGTTACTGCAAGGGTGTCCCCTGTGCAAGGAGATAACCACTGAGTTCTCCAAATCCACCAATCCCGATCTGGGACATACCTTGGGCCCTGGAGGAACCTCCAGGAATGCAAAAGGACAGGGCCACAGAGGATCCAGGGGCCATGCTTGGAGATCCAGAATACCCTGGAGGAGACCTGGGTTCTTATTGGCAGGAGGAGTTCGTGAAGAAGGTGTGGGCTGAAGTACTTGGTTGGTTCTGATTTTGAACCCTTACCTGTACTTCACTCTTGTCAAAGTTGGTCAGAGAAGTGAGGGGAGGAGAGGTAGAAGGGGGAGAAGGGGATTTCCAGATCATACATTCTGTCCATCTTTCCTATTCCCCAAACAACCACTTTCCAAGGAATCTCCCATGGGCCATGAGGGGCGGGGGAGGAAGGCTACCCTTTCTTCCAGAGTCCCTGGCTAGGTTATGTCGGGGGTAGGAGTCTAGGACCCCTGGGGCTTTCCCCTTTTGCTTCAGCCAGACTCACAGTACAAAACCTAATGGTCAGGACAGTAACACCCACAGGTTTGGATGGGGCAGGACTCACTGGCTGACATCAGGACAATGCCTGAGGTGAGGAGGAGAGCTGTTAGCCAATTGATGGGGCATTTGTCAATTAGGTTGTTGACTGGAGGGATTTGTGAATAGGGGAATTTGCCAATGAGGTAGTGATTTGTCAGCAGTGGGTAATTTATGAACTAGAGAGCGCTATGCAAATAGGATTTATAAATTGGTCTAGTAAAATGCTCTAAAGTATTGACTAAAGAGATTATCCAGTAAGCTGTGGTTGATGATGCGGCTTAAATTACTGACACTGCAGATCACCAATGCTAATGCCAATGTAGAGAATTATTACCAATACCTCAAATTTTATGTAAAATTTAAAAAGCCAACATTTTGCAGCCCTCATCCCCTCAGCATTGGTCCCAGGGTGCTCCCACCAGGTCATCAGTGACATGGGTTTGTTCCCAGACACTACACAGAGACACTGCCTGCCGAGTGGTAGGATTTTATTTCATTGTCTTGAAGAGAGAAAGACACAAGTGGGAAAGGGGGTGAATACTGTGCAGGTTTCAGCTTCTGCTGGGGGCAGGATTCAGGCGTTCCGGGGCCGCAGGGACTGCCAGTTGCACATCCCTGACTTCTGTGGCAGGCAGGCAAGGTGGCGGCTCTGGAAGCCCTTGTCAGAGCCTGTAAGCAGCTGGTCCGTCCACAAACACTGATTATTACTCTGCAGTTTGCAGGGAATGGATGAGCAGGGAAACACCTGGAAGAGGGGGAGGGAGGCACATCTCTGAGGACTTCTACTCCCTTCAGAGCAGAACTTCCTTCTCCTCAGCATTCAACATTGAGCTGCTCAAGAGATGTCATGTCACTCCACCTGGATACCGACTCAAGAACAGTTCCTCCCATTGGGGGAACAGTCATTGGACTCGGTGAGGTGACAGTAATCCAGAGAAAGGATCAGTTTCTTGGTGGTTGGGGACAGTCAGATGGGTCTCCTGAGAACTGTTCCATAGGATAGGGAACAACTGGCAGTACCAGGGAACAGCTGGCAAGTGGAGAACTTAAGCACAGGAAGGAGCTGTGGGACTCTCAGATACAGTCACTGAATCAGAGGACATTCAGAGACATCAGGGAACAGTCCTGGAATAGTCAAATGGGCAATGGAACTTGCCCTCGTGTGTGTAACTGTCACAGTTGGAAAGCAACAATCATATGTGCTGGGGAAGAGTCAGTGGGTTGGGGAACAGCACTTTGGGTTCTTGGAGAACATTCTAGGAAACCAAGAAACAATCCCTGGGGTGCGGGGAGGTCAGGAACAAAAATCAGGACTACCTAATAGTCACAAGGGAACGTTAGAGGAACAGGAAGCAGCCACAACAGTGAACCCCCAGGTATGAGGCACACGGGGCAAAGGAATCACCAGAATGTCCAGAAGGACAGCCTCAGGTTTGGGGGAAGAGCAGGAAAGATCAGAGACAGCACAAGGGGGTTTGGGGAGCAGCCATAGGGAAAAGTAATAGCCTGACGGAGCAAGAAACAAGCCATGAGTTTAGGAAAGAGCTCAAGAAGACCTCTCCAGGTGGCAGGCAGGGCCCAAACACTTACTGTGCATTCCTCACAACCAGCACTGTAAAGCTTGGTGAAGCCCCGTCGCTGAGTGGAGCTCAGACTGTTCCAGGGGACCACGAAACTGCAGGTGGTGATGTGCAGTTGCCCGTTCCTCAGTTGTCCTGGGGGAGGGGTGAACAACAGGCAGCTTCTGATTGGCTGGGCTGGGGCAGGTGACGCCTGATTGGCGTCCCTGGAGCACAGACCCGGCTGGGGGCCTTCTGATAGGCCGAAATTGGGGCGGTCCTTATTTCAACTGGGACCCTTCCTTCAGAGCCCCACCCCTTCAGGGTGTCCTGGCCCAGGACTGGGGGCAGAGCCTCACCAGCGATGAGAAACTCCTGGCTGCGGTTCTGAGACTGGTGGAAGTATCCGCAGACGCTCTCCATGGCTGGGGTGTGGACGAACTGGATGTCAGGGACATCCCCCAAGGCGTTGAACCCTTTCAACATCTGTGGATGGATGAGAAGACTCTTTTTTACTGACATGTTCCTCCCACTCCACCTTCTTCACATAGCATCCCGAGATCACAGCTAACTTCCTCACCAACCATGGCTAGAGGCCTTTTTATTTTTACAGGGAGGAAAATGTTAGGAACTCCTGAGGAAGGGGCAGGAAGAATACCTTGGTCATCTTAATCTCATAACGCTGATATAAGGTTGTCTGGTTGACTTCTGCTGTCCCTATGAACTTGGCCTTGATGACTGCAGGGAGAGGAGGGGGAAAAACAAGTCAAATGGACTGTGTGAGCTAATAAAAATAAAACAATTACAGTAGTCATACTAGCAAAGCACATACGTAAATAGGGGTTGCTGGATGCCAGACAACCCACTAAGAAATGTACACATTTGTTAACAGATTTGCCCATATAGTGAATGCCTACTTTTTGCAAGGCTCTGCTTTAAGCCTTTTTCATATATTCACCATGTGCTCATTCACTCAATGAATATTTTGGAGCACCTGCTGTGTGCCAGGCACTGTTCTGGGTGTTAGGGACACAACAGTGAACAAAACATAGAAATCCCTCCCCTTGTGGAGCTCACATGCTAGCCAGGAAAAGACAGACTAAACACAAGCAAAATAGATAGGTTTGTGGAGTGTTAGAGGTATTATGTATGATGGGGAACTTCAGAACTGGGTAAGGGGAATCAGGAGTACTAGAGGACAGGGGTTAAAATTTTGGGAAAGTAACATTTGAGGCAGTCACCCACATGGATACCTGGGGGGAAAGGTGTACCAGGCAGACTCCAGGCCCTGAGGAGGGACTAGGCCTGGAGTAATCAAGGAATTGAGTGAGGATGCCATGTGTCAAAAGGAGAGTCAGGGCAGGGCTGAGTGGAATTGTTCTAGAGGTGAGCACCATCCTGAACCCCACTAGACTGAGAGGGAAACCAAAACACAGTATGTGAGCAGAGTAGGGTATACTCACCGAGGTCAGAGTTGCAGAAGGCCATCTGTGGGTGGGATGGGACACAGGTACAGGCCCTGCTAGGGGCTGTCAGACACAGCAACAACAGGATGCCGGAGGCCAGGGATTCGAAGGTGGCCATGATGGGTTCTGGAGGGGTGAAGAGGAGGGGTCAGGGGGCCTCCAGCCCAGCCAATCTGGGGACCTGGGCAGGCCTCTCACCCCATTCTACCCTCCCCCCAGCAGCATGGACAGGCCTTAGTCTGCCACACTTGGGCTAGACGGGTTGGGGAGTTTGGGCATTTTAAGGGGATGGGTATTTGAGAGCCCAGAGGATTTTAGGGGAATTGGGAGTTTCAGAGTTGTGGAGTTTGAGCGATTTAGGGGACAGGATAAGTGGCAGAGATTATGGGGTTGTGGTTGTGGAGTTTGAAGACCTGGGGGGTTAGGGAAGTCAGAAAGTGGAGGAGTTGGGAGTGAGGAATTTGCAGTTTGGGGAACTATAGGAATTTGGGAGTTTGGGGTTGTGCATATTGGGAGATAGAGGAGGCCCAGGAGGCCTGGGAGTTGAGGGAAGCTGAGGAATTTGGAGGAGGTTGGGGGTTTAAGGATTTGGGGCAGTTCTGGGGGCCTTAAGAGGGTGGAAGCGCCAGGGGATTTGGGAGCAGAGGAAGTTTTGAGGTTTAGGGAGTTGAGGACTTAGGAGTCTGGGGTATTGGGGGAGTTTGGGGAGGTTCAGAAGTTTGGGGGTGGGAGACTTGGGGGACAATGAGGGAATTTAGGGGAAATGGCCGCTTGCTGTGATATAAGGGGCTCACGAGCTTGGCGGATTTAGGATGGGTATAGGGAGTTTGGAGCAGTTCCAGCCCCCCACACCCGCCCTCTCCCCCTTGACCAGTCCAGGGTCCCGGTGCCCTGCCGTTCTGCCTGCCGTTCGGGCTGAGCAGCGAGGTGTGCAGCGGCAGGAAAGCTCTGCCCAGGCCCAGGCCTTGCGGCCGCCCAGCCCCCTACCTACCTCTGATGGAGCTTCTCTAGACGCTGGGTCTGCGGCGATGGCGGCAGGGCCTGAGCAGCGGAGGATAAATGTCCACGCAAGGGGCGGGGGCGGGGGTGGCAGTGGCAGCCGTGCGGAAACCACAGGCCTCCAAGCTTCCTGGATGCATTACTCATCCGCCCACCGTCAGTGGTGGCCAAGGGGCGGGCCGAGGGCTGCCGAAAAGGAGCTTCACCCTCCTCCCCTCCCTCTCCCTAGGCCTCGCCCTGGCCATCCCCCTCCCCCATCTCCAAGTCCAGTCCCAGTCCTAACCGGAGGCCTCTACGGAGTGCTTAGAGTCAGGATTCCCCCAAGGCAATTTCCTGTAGACGCCAAACTCTCCACAGTCTACCCAGTCACCCACGGGTCACAAACTCCCCATGGCTGAAGCCCGAAGTAGTTCATTTTCGTCAACAAACATGTCTTGTGCAGATACACAAAAATTCGTCTCTGGTAGATCCCACAAACTGGTGAGGAGTGGGGGAGGCAGAGAGGAGACAAGTAGAAGCAGTGGAAGGAGATGAGGCAGGTGAGTGGAGGAGGAATACAGTGTGGAGTAATGAGGCACAGAGATATTAAGTGATTTATTCAAGATCACAATTAATAAGTGGCAGAACTGGCATTTGAACTCAGGTGGCCTGGAGCCAGAGCCTGGATCTCAACCGTGCTCAGAAAAACACAGGCAAATAGCATTTATATAGCACCAACTGTGTACCAGGCACTCAGCATAATTTATCTCACTTAAAGCTCACAATTTTTGCCATAGCATGGGTGGACCTAGAGGATATGATGCTAAGTGAAATAAGCCTGAGAAAGAGAAATACCTTATGATTTCATTTACATGTGGAATCTAAAACACCAACCAAAAAAAACCCCCACAAAATAAAATAGAAATATACTCATAGATACAGAGAATAATCTGGTGGTTGCCAGAGGGGGCATGGGGTGGGTGAAATAGATGAAGAGGATTAAGAAGTACAGACTTCCAGTTATAAAATAAGTAAGTCATGGGAATGCAATGTACAGCACAGGGGAATATACTCGGCAGTATTGTAATAACTTTGTATGGTGACAGATGCTAACTAGAATTATCATGGTGATTATTCCATAATGTATAAAATTTTCGAGCCAACATAGTGTACCTCTAAAACTAATATAATATTGTATGTCAACTATAACTCAACTTTTAAAAGTTCATAATAAGCCTCTGAGATGGGTACCAGTATTATTCCCATTTTACAGATGAGGAAAACTGAGGAATAGAGGAACTGAAGAACTTTCACGGATCACAGGGTATGGCTGGGATTGGATTTAGGCCAACTGGCCCCAGGATCTCAATCCAGGCTTAGCCAGCGGGAAGGTGATGGTTAACGAATGAGCCCTGGCGTGGGGGGAGTTGAATGGTGGTGAAAGAGACCAGTGAGTGAGTCAGGAGAAAACTGATACTCTTCCATCCTGCCCTGCCCCTTCCCCATCAACCCCTCCCTGACCATGCCTCTGGTAGGGGGTGGGGTGAGACAACCCCTGCCTGCCAGATTCCAGATGTTATCTCAGTCTTCCTAGGGTCCTGGGAAAGGGCTTCCGGGCTGATTAACAGCCTTTGTTGTTCAGGAAGGACGGACCAGTAATAATGATGGTAGTCATGATAGCAGTCACTTATTGAGCATTTACTGTATACCGTGCCCCGGAGTCTTTGCGGAAATTCTTTTATTCAGTCTCCATTACCCTCTTGCTAATCAAGCTGGATTAATTTAGGGAGATTAACCCAACCAATAGCAACACCATCAGAACAACAAAAGCTAGCACCAACACTTATGGAGTGCTTAATGGGTAGCAAGCAGTATTCTAAAATCTTTGTGTAAATACTTTATCTCTCAGTCAATCCAGATTGCCTCCTTGTTAATGTTGGCTAACAAAGAGACAATAAGCCAATAATAATAGTACCCAACACTTTTGGAGGATGCAGATTTCCTGTGTACCAGATATTGTGCTAAGCATTTTTCCCGACATAACACAATATCCCTGTGAGTTAGAGACTGTTCATATTCTCATTATGCAGATGAGGAAACTGAGACACACAAAGGATTGAGTGAGCTGCCCAGGAATGAGAGTGAAGAAATGACTGTTGGGATAACAAGAAAGAGAGGGAGGGAAGGACGTAAACCAGGAATTTGGAGAAGCTGATTGTGAAAGTAGGGGAGTGAGAGTGAATGAGACAGGGAACTGAGTAAGCCAGCGGTGGAGCCAAAAGGAGAAGTGAGGGCAGGGGAAGTGTTGCTGCAGCCCCTTGCTGACTCTGGTTCTGACGCCAGCTCTGTGACTCCGAAAACTGCATCAGCACAGAGTTGTGTTGACTGTCTACATGCGAGGGGTCGTGTGGCACCAGGTTATTGTGCAGGTTTTGAAACTGGTGGGGTTTCATGAAGGGGTGTCCGCGTGTGTGACCATCTGAGGGGCTGGGTGGGGGTGGGGGCTGTGGGGACCAACTGGGGGTGCAGAACGGACACCTGGCAATGTCCAAGCATACCAAGTGCTTGGGCCTGACTGTGCCCCTTTTACAGATCAGGAAACGGAGGCCCAAAGAGAGTTAAGTGACCTGCCAGGGGTCCCACATGGTTTTAGGAAGAGGAAACGTGCCCTAGCTGGTTTGGCTGAGTGGATAGAGTGTTGGCCTGTGGACTACAGGGTTGCAGGTTCGATTCCAGTCAAGGGCACATGCCTGGGTTGTGGGCTTGATCCCCAGTGTGGGGCGTGCAGGAGGTGGCCAATCAATGATTCTCTCTCATCATTGATGTTCTATCTTTCTCTCCCTCTCTGTTCCTCTTTGAAATCAATAAAAATATATTTAAAAAAAAAAAAAGAAGAAGAGAAAACGCTAAGATTCAACGCTAGGGCTCTCCAGAGGACCCCAGAGTGCAGCACTCCTCTCGCGCACACATGTTCGGGCACACTTACACGTGTTCACAGTGTTGTGTTCAGGCCCAGGCCCAGAGGAAATAGGAGGGTTTATAAAAAGAGGAGCCTAGAAAATCTGGGGTGTGTGTGTGTGTGTGTGTGTGTGTGCTTGTGCACAGCTCTCTGCTGTGTCTCTGCCCATGAGAGTTGCCTGTGAGCCTTTAGGTGGCATGTATGTGGTGTATGTATGGACCTGAGGGTTTTGTGTAGCGTGTTTTGTGTTGCTCCTGGGAGTTGTGTGTCTGCCTCTGTAAGGCGGGTCTGGGTTGCACATGTAATTGTGAACGTCTCTCCTCCCCTCTGTGAGCTGTGAGTGTGCGTGTTGTTATGTCACCAACCGCCTCTGCAGTGTTTCCCTGCAACAATACCTAGAGGATCCCGCAAGCCCATCCCAACACGGTGCCTCTCCGCGCCCCATAATGACGCCAAGCATTTGGGAAATGAGGAAGGTGGGAGTGCAGGGGGGAGGGCAACGCCTGAAGGTCAATCGGTCACCCAGAGCTTGCGGGCTTCCTGTGCCTGTCGGGAACTGGGAACCACTGCGGCCCCAGCCACCCCTCCCGGAATGCCATCTCTCTACCCCGTGGGGCAGCTGTCTGCATGGCAGATGGAGGGCGTGGTGCTGCGTGCATCCTGCTATGATGGGGCTGGGGTCGTCCAACCTGGTCCCCTGGATCCTGCCCAGGATCTGGGAGACTTGATGTATGCCTGCACCTGAATGTGTGAGCATGTGAGAGTGTGTGTGCGTACACATGCCCAGGAGTGTGGTCTGTATGCTTAGGAGGGTTGTGGTGTCTCTGGTTGTGCGTATGCCTCTCTGTTTTTACATATGACAAGGTATGTTGTGTCCCTAGATATACTTTTTGTGTGCCCAGGAGTGTGGCGTGGGTTTCGGTGGTTCTGTGAATACCTAAGTCTGGGTACCTTTCTTTGTATGTGGTGTGGGTCCTTCTGTTTGTTGGGAGTATGCCTAGGAGTGTTGTATGTGTGTCTGTGAGTGTTGACTACATGCCCAGTTCTGTTGTGTGTGCCTCTCAGAGCTGTGTATACCTCTGGGTGCTATGGTTGTGCCCTGAGGGTTGTCTTTGTATTACAAAGGTAATCTTTCGTGATGTGTGTGTCCCTCTATATTGTGTGGATTTGGGTGATGGGAGGGGGCTGTGTGTGTGCCTGAGCCTAAAAGTGTTGTGTGCTGCCAGGCCAGAAGGCTGACAGAAGCTCTGGCCCCTGCCCCACACGTGAGCACGAGGCTGGCTGAATGACTGTGGGCATCTACGCAGTTGGAGGGCGAGGTGCTCCAGAGCTTGTGTTGGTTGCAGGTCTCCATGTTGTGGGTCTCAATGTGCATGGGCATCTCTGGGTTTGGTTGTGTAGATCAGAGCTTGGAGGGTTGGTGTGTGTCTCTAGGTTGTGTATGTGTGTGGACAAGGCTTACATGCAAGGCCTGGCTGAGGGGTCCAGTTGCTACATGCTCACCACCACACCCCCATGCACACACTCACTTCTCTATCATCCAGTTACTGTATAAATAAACTTTCCCTTTTCCGGAAAAGCGCCCCCCCCCCCTTTTCCCATGCGTCTGCCTGGGAAAGCAGAGGCGGGAAGTCTGGGTGGGTGGAGGGAGGGACAGGCAGAAAGGGCTCCGGGTGTGATTCTGAGCTCAGAGGTGCTGTGTGATCCCCAGCTGCTGTCTGCTTATCTCTGACCTGCCTCTTCTGGGAAATGGCTCCTAACATGTGGCTCCTGCCGGATGGGCTCCCCTCAACACCACCCCCACCCCTGGCAATCAGCCCTCCTGCCCTGACCATGCTCTGCCTTTCCACCCTACCAGCTCAGCAGCACAACGTACCCTGTGGTTGTGAAGATGGGGCATGCACACTCCGGGATGGGCAAGGTGAGTGCCCGAGTTGGGTGTGTCCTTGTGTGTTCCTAAATGTATGTAGATGTATATTGTGTACTCAATGCACACCGCTAATTTTGTATAATTGTGTGCCCTGGGGTGTTTATCTATTTGTATCTTTCCCCTCACCTTTGTAGAATTTGTTGGCCCAGTTTTCCATCACGCACTCAGCCAGTTTGTGTGTCCTGTTATTTTGTGTATATGCATGCCTCTGTGTTAAACACACACTATGTAATCTTTTATGTTCAAGAGTCTTGGGGTCCTGTATGCTTTTCATCCCTCTGATCCCTCTGATGTTGTCTCTGTGTATGTAGAAAGCAGACTTGTAATTTTTATGTTGGAGTGTGTCCTTGCTTCTGTTCATTTATTGTATGTACCACTGATTTTGTGTCTGTATAGATATACTGTATACATACATAGTTTTGCTACAGCTTTAATGAGATGTAATTCACATACCATACAACGTACCCATATAAGGTGGACAATTCAATCATTTTCAGTATGTTCAGAGAGTGATATACACCCAACTTCCTGTCTGTGCATACATGTAAAAGCCAGGAGGCCCAGAATTATGCATGCATCAGTGCCTCGCTATGTCCACTGAATTTCTGTGTACTCAGCTCACCTATGTCACCTGTGTGCACACCCCCGCCCTGAGGCACCCCCACTGCTGCCCCATCCTGCCAAGGCCCTGATCCCTAGCCCACCCACAGGTCAAGGTGGAAAACCAGCATGACTTCCAGGACATCGCAAGCGTCGTGGCCTTGACCAAGACGTATGCCACTGCTGAGCCCTTCATTGACGCCAAATATGATGTGCGCGTCCAGAAGATTGGGCAGAACTACAAGGCCTACATGTGAGTGGAGAAATCGAGGCCTAGGTCCCCTGCTCAGCCCTGTGCAGTTCAGGTCCCCCTGAGTCTCTCTCCTCTCTCCTGTCTCCCAGGAGGACATCAGTGTCAGGAAACTGGAAGACCAACACTGGCTCGGCCATGCTCGAGCAGATCGCCATGTCTGACAGGTGGGTGGCCTGGACTCCGCGGGGAGGGGGAGTGAGGGTGGGACTGTGGCTGCTCCAGCAAGGTACTGATAGGCTCTCTCACCCCACGTGTTGCCAGGTACAAGCTGTGGGTGGATACATGCTCAGAGATTTTTGGGGGACTGGACATCTGCGCAGTGGAAGCGCTGCATGGCAAGGACGGAAGGGATCACATCATTGAGGTGGGAGAACCCAGGGATTGGTGGGGGCACAGAGGGAGGCGCAGGTGCAGGGGAGCACCAGTCCATAAACTGTGAAGCACTCCATGGCCCAGGAAGTCCTCAGTGAATGGCAAAATGTTTAGTAAACTGCAAAGTGCCTTTTGAACTGGGATACCCTGGCAAATGGCAAAATACGTAGTGAATTGTCAACTGCTTTGTAAACCTGGACATCCTTAGTGAATAGCAAAAACACTTATTAAACTATAAACTGCTCTGTGAATTGAGCCCCGATGGTGAATGGCAAAGCACTTAATGATCTTTAAAGTGTTCTGTGAACTGACGGGTCCTTGGCACATGGCAAAGTGCTATTGTAAACTAAAAGGAACTTTGCAAAGAGTACTGGTTGATGCGAAATCATTCTGTAAACTGTCAGTCAAGTACCTTATAAATGAGGACATGCTTGGTGAACAGCAAAGTACTTCATAAAACTATCAAAAAGGAGCTCTGTAAACTGGGAAGTTCTCATTATTGAAACAAAGGACTCTCAAAATTCTAAAGTTCTTGGTAAACAGTGGTGCCCCTGGTAAACAGGGAAGCAATTTGTAAACTGTAAAATGCCTTGAAAAGTTGAAGTGCTTGGTAAACAAGCACTTCATGCATGATAATGCAGTTTGTAAACATTGGTGCCATTTGCAAAGCACTTCCTGAACTCTAAACACATCATATCTCCCATATGTGTCAAGGGGCAAGGAGCTTTGTAAAACACAAAGCTCCCTTGTAAAGGACAGAGCACCTAGCACTCTATCAAGCAGGGATGGGCAAGTGTTTTCTGGAAAGGGCCAGGCGGTGCACATGTTAGGCTTTGTGGACCATATAGTAACTATGAGTTACAGTTGAGTAGGTTGAAGCTACTCAACTGCAAAAGCAGCCATAGACAACATATTTTTTTTCACTTTTTAAAAATGATTTCTTACAGAGAGGAAGGGAGAGGGACAGAGAGCCAGAAACATCAATGAGAGAGAAACACTGATCAGCTGCCTCCTGCACACCCCCCACTGGGGATGTGCCCACAACCAAGGTACATGCCCTTGACCAGAATCGAATCTGGGACCCTTCAGTCCTCAAGCCGACACTCTATCTACTGAGCCAAACTGGTCCGGGCTAGGCAACATATTTTTTAAAAAATGTGTGGCCCTAGCCGGTTTGGCTCAGTGGATAGAGTGTCAGCTTGCAGACCCAAGGGTCCCAGGTTCGATTCCCAAGGGCACGTACCTCAGTTGCAGGCTCCTTCCCAGCCCGGGCAGGAGGCAACCAATTGATGTGTTGCTCTCACATTGATATCTCTCTCTCTGTCTTTTCCTCTCTCTTCCACTCTCTCTAAATCAATGGAAAAAATATGCTTGGGTGATGATTTTTTTAAAAAATCTGTGGCTGTGTTCCACTAGAACTTTTTTTGGCATAATTTTCACATCATGAAATCTTCTTTTGCTTTTTTTTCAACCATTAAAAAATGTAAAACCCATCCTTAGTTCAGGGCCCCTACAAAAACCAGGTGCGGCCTGGAGGCCCTCATTTGCTAGGACAGCACCTCATCAGCTGTTAGTACCTCTCTAGTAGGAGACAAGCCTTCCTCACACTCTTAATCGGTGTCTCTCAGACTGAAGCTCGTTTCCTTGGCAGCCACTGTGCCCTCTGCTAACTTAAAGCACTTAGTCACTGTAACCCTCACATGCACTTCCTCCTCCTCTTTCCTCACTGGGTGTTTTCTCTCCCAGGTGGTGGGCTCCTCCATGCCGCTCATTGGTGACCACCAGGACGAAGACAAGCAACTCATTGTAGAGCTCGTGGTCAATAAGATGGCCCAGGCCCTGCCTCGGCAGCGGGATGTCTCCCCTGGCAGGGGTTCCCACAGCCAGGTCAGCTACTGGTGGGCAGGCCAGCCCTTGCTCCTGCTGTGTCCCAGAGCTAAACAGCAGCAGGCTAAGGGGCATCACCATGACGCATGTGATCACAATGACCAGTTGTGTTCAAAATGGACAAATAGCTGCTACCCTGACTTCCCTGAGTGCTTCCCGACCCCTCCCCTGGGGAGTCCCCCCCCCCCCAACAACCTGATGTCCCCCTCAGCTCAGCCACAAACAGGGCAACACCCAGCACACAGGGATCCCCTGTTATTCTGATTGGCTGATGCTTCACTGGCTGGTAGCTATTTTTAACCTCTCCTGTTCCACTCCTCTACCGCAGACTCTGTCCCCAGGGGCCCTGCCCTTGGGCCGCCAGACCTCCCAGCAGCCCTCGGGCCCCCCGGCTCAGCAACGACCCCCGCCACAGGGTAAGTGAGGGGTCGACTTCCCGGTGCCTACCCTCCAGCAGCCCCCTACCTCTCACTTGCTGGCTCTCACATGTGAACTCTTTTTCTCTGTCGCTCAGGTGGCCCTCCACAGCCGGGCCCAGGCCCCCAACGCCAGGGACCTCCGTTGCAGCAGCGCCCGCCCCCACAGGGCCAGCAGCACCTTTCAGGCCTTGGACCCCCAGCTGGCAGCCCCCTGCCCCAGCGCCTACCAAGTCCCACATCAGCGTCGCAGCAGCCTATGTCCCAGGCTCCACCACTGACCCAGGGTCAAGGCCGCCAATCCCGGCCAGTGGCAGGAGGACCTGGGGCCCCTCCAGTAGCCCGCCCGCCTGCCTCCCCATCTCCCCAGCGCCAGGCAGGCCCCCCACAGGCTACCCGTCAGACATCCGTCTCTGGTCAGGCTCCACCAAAGCCCTCAGGGGCTCCACCGGGTGGTCAGCAGCGCCAGGGCCCACCCCAGAAGCCGCCAGGCCCTACTGGCCCCACCCGCCAGGCCAGCCAGGCGGGTCCCATGCCCCGCACTGGGCCACCCACCACGCAGCAACCTCGGCCCAGCGGTCCAGCGGGGCCTGGGCGTCCCACCAAGCCACAGCTGGCCCAGAAACCTAGCCAGGATGTGCCGCCACCTGCCACGGCTGCTGCCGGGGGACCCCCGCACCCCCAGCTCAAGTAAGGGGACCCCTCAGCAGCCCTTGCCTTGCTGCTCACAAAACCTGCCCCTGCACCAGGAGAGCAGCCCCAGCTCCCCAGCTCCCCAGCTCCTCAGACCCAGATCCCATCCAGGGGCCCTGAGAGCTCTCTCTCCAGGCTGTGCCAGACCCCTCCCCCAAACTATCACCGCTTTCAGTCCACAGAGGCTCTTGCCTTCCATCCCAGGTTCTTTTCCCTCCATCCGAGAGATTTGGTGCCAGAATCCCAGAGAAACCCCACTTTCAGTTCAGAGTCTTCCCAGTCCCCTCCTCCAGCCCGGGCACCTAGCTGAGCCTCCTTCAGTATCTCCCTGCCCACCAAGTCCTCCTCCCAAATCCTCCTCCCATCTCGGAACCTTCCTGGCCAAACTAATCCTCCTTGACTCCTCCAAGCCCAACCTGACTCCTCCCAGCCAATGCCCCCACCCACCCCTACCACCCAGTTCACGTCACACTCTTTCCAGTCAGCCCCATACTTTTCCTACAGTGTAGGCCAGCGATTTTCAACACACTTTTCATCTCATGGCACACATAAACTAATCACCACAATTCTGCGGCACACCAAAAAAGATTTTTGCCAATGTGACCCCCCCCAAAAAAATAGGCATAACTTTCATTCACACTGGACAGCTATTGTGTTGCCTCTGTTGTCATTTTTTAAAAATTTGACAATCTAAGGGAAAAGAGGTTGGTCCCCTAACTACATAGTCACGTATTGCATATTTTAAAATTCTTGTAGCACAACAGTTGAAAATCGCTGGTCAGGCTCCTTTCTGGTCTATCCCCAAATCCTCCTGGTCCATCTCAGTCTCCTCCCAAGTCATCACACCATCCTCTGCCTCTTCTTGTCCGTTCCAGACCTGCTCCCACCTTAGCTCAAAAGTCCTCACTGCCCCACCCAACTGCTCCCCCTTAGATTTGTCCCTCCCAGCCTGTCCTTGGTATAAGCCCCCTCCCTCCTGGACTCCTTACCCTTGGACTGGATACCTCCCTGTCCATCTTCATCTTTCTATCAAATTCCTCCCAGTCTATCCCAGATTTGAAGAGAAGATTCAGTCCAAGACTCTTCCCATTAATCCCAGACTTCTTTACCTTAGATCCCAGTGCTCCTGGCCTGGACCAGGGCTCCCCGACTCCCACCTGATAACCCATAAGGGACCAGGACCATGCTGATGGGGGGGAGGGTCACAGGCACCGCCCCAGGACCAGAGGGACAGGGCTGGGGCTGGGGCTGGGCCTGGGGTAACATTGTGTTTCTCTCCCCCTCCTCCCTTCCTCTTCTCCCCTTCCTCCCACACCTCCTCCACCTTGTCTCTCTCTAGCAAATCCCAGTCTCTGACCAATGCCTTCACCTTCCAGAGCCAGCCCCGCCCAGGCCCAGCCTTAGCCAGGACGAGGTGAAAGCTGAGACCATCCGCAGCCTGAGGAAGTCTTTCGCCAGCCTCTTCTCCGACTGACACCCCACCCTGAGAACCCCCAATATCCCTGGGTAACCCCTCTCTGGGCCCTGAATCCACTTCTCACTTTTGGAATCTCCAACTCCCTTGAGAAGCCCTCTCCTGGTTCACCAAGATCCTTCTTCTCACTCCTCAGAATGCCCAAGTCCCTAAGGAAACCTCACTTCTGGTCCTAAACCTATTTCTCATGTTTGGAATTCCCAAATTCTTGGGAAGCCCATTCCTGGTCACCTCCAAATTCCTGAGGACCTCCACTCCCAAAGTATGGTTTCCTTTCCAGAAGTTCCCGAACACCAGGCAACCCATTCTGGCCCTACACCACAGAGTCCCCTCCTGGGGTCCTGAAATTCCTTGAAAACCATACTCCTGGTCTGAGATCGCTCAAGCACACTTAGTTCCCCACCAAAATTTCCCAAATCCTTAAGAAACCCCTACCTTTGAGCTCTCTTTCACGGATCTCCCATTTCTGGAGACCCACCTCTTCCAATGCCACCACCCAGTCCCATAAGGATTTCCCTTCACCTCCTCTCCCAACTCTATTCAATACATTGGGAGCTCTTCCCTCTGGTAGGACCCCTCAGTTCCCCAGGGACCTCTGCCCCACTTTCCTGCCTCTGACAGCTCTCTCTAAATATGCAAACTCCACCCATCCTCCCAGAATCCTTTGCACATGAAAGGCCAGTGGTCCCCCACTTCCCCACCTTTGCTGTGATGTCTGTGTCTGTGACTGACGTGGCCTCCTCTCGTGGTGTGCTTGGCATATGTGGTCCTCGTTCATCGTGCCGCCTGTGGTGATGCGTGCAGTGGCGCTGTTTGTGTGGTCTGCACCTTCCCCCAACCTCCACTCCTTGCCTGGACTCACCCCCACCCCTCAGCGGCTCTGAACCCCACGAGAAGAGTCGGGAAGCAAAATAAACAAGCAAAGGCCCAGCAGAATTCTGTGCTTCTTGGTGAAGAAAGGGGGGAGTCCTTGAATGACAGGGGAGACACAGAAGGGACCCCCCCAAATCCACATGGGGTGCTGGAGACCCCAAAATCCAGTGGAAGGCACATCGGGCACAAATTCCAGAGAGGTTTCTGAGTGGAATCCCTGCTACAAATCCCAGCCATTGTAGATGGAGGAGCTCCCAAATTTAGAAGTATCCCCAAAGTCAAGAGAAAACTGGACTATGGATGAGGCTGTGGTCTCAATCTTTTGGGGTCCCCCCAGTTCCAGAGAAATTGGAAAACACATGGGGACCCCCTCATCTCCCAGGGCAGAAATGGGGAATCCTGAGGCAGTATCTGGGCAAAGATGGAACATTGATTGGTTGGTGAGCAAGGCTCCTTGGTGTAGAAGGCTGAGATTGGTTCCCTGGTGGCTGGGGGCGGGGCCTAAGGCACAAGGCGGGCTGCGCTGAGTAGGCAGGCGGGCAACTCATCAGCCTGGGTGCGATGCAAGGAGGGTTCGGAGGCACTCCGCTCAATCTTGGGGAGTGACCGCTGCAGCAGCTCAATGGTGGCCAGGATCTAGGGGCAGGGTAGCATGAGGAGGGGAATCCAGTCACACGGGCACCCCAATACCACCAGACCCAACCTTACAGGGAAGTATATACACACACATTCTATTCCTCTGAGCACTGAACACGCATGGTTCACATTCACATCTCAGAGTCTTCCTCCTTCTCAGAGTCCCCTCCCCAGAGTATCCAGCCCTCCTACCCGGCCCACCTGGGGGAAGAGGGGCCGCTCCTCTCGCTGAAACTTGAGGCAATCAGACAGCAGGCGCCGCATGGCCTTGGGGCAGTTGCTGGAGATTTTGCTGAGGTCCGGGGACAGATAGCCACGGCCTACCATAAAGATAATCTGGGGGGGGGGGAGAGAAATGGCTGATCTAGGGATCTGGGCTGGAAGGCTTGGAGAATTTCAGTTCTCAAGAAACTTAGAAGGCTCCTTTGGGGGAACTGGGGATTCTGGGTATTGGGGCTCTGAGGATTGTGGTATCTTGTGAATCCACGGATTCTGGGTCTCTGAGGCCTTGCAAGGAATCTCTGCTAGCAGAACACAGGGATTTAAGCTTGAGGAAAGTCAAGGATTTCAGGTGTCTAGGGCCGAGAGGATTATGGGTCCATAGGTTTCTAGGGGGCCTAGGGACCTGGGAAGTATTGAGTCTGGGAGAAATGTGAACTTCTGGGTCTGGAGGGGGCTAAAGTATTCTAGCCCTCAGGAGCTTGTATTTCCGTGGGGGTCTGGGGCCTGAGGACTATGGGTCCATGTGGCCTGTAGGACTATTGGTATCTGGAGTCTAGAGGATCCTTGGTTTCTGAAGGCCTGCCTTGGATCTGGACAACTGTGAAAGTCTGGGGCCTAGAGTATTGTGGATGCCAGGGCCCCAAAACCTGCCAAATACCCAAGGCCTGAATAATTGTGGGTTTCTGTACTATAGAAGCACAGAGGAATTCTGTTTCTGGGAGAAATGAGATTCTGGGCTTTGGGGACTTGCAGGATTTTGAGTACAAGGACTACGAGCCAAAGGACTGGTAGTTGTCGAGGGGTCCAGAGGACTTCTGGGTGTTGGGGGTCTGAAGGGGTTTTTGAGCATAGGAGATTCAGGAGTTTCTGAACTTTGAGGACCCAGAGGATTGTGGCTGTGGGGGAAGGGGATTCTGGGTACAGGAGATCCAGAGGATTGTGGGAGTTCTAAGCGCAGAAAATTTGGGGTTTCTGGAGAAAATGTGGCATTCTTGGTCTGTGCAAAGGAGAAAATCTGGGGTTTAGGGGCTGAGGGGGTCCCTTAGCCTGGGAAATTACAGGTAAGGCGTGGGGCTCACCTGGTCACGGCTGCCAATGTGGCTATAAGGCAAGGAGCCGGTCATGAGCTCGTAGAGCACAACCCCATAGGCGTAGACATCCGACTGGAAGCTGTAGGGGTTCGGGTCCTGCATACGGATCACCTCAGCCGCCTTCAATAGGCCAGACCAGGCAGGAGAACCATGAAGGTCAGCCAATGGCTGGCCCATAGTCCCAGATCCCACTAGCCACACTGGGTACAACTCAGAGCCACCCACATGAGGGGAAACGTGAGCAGTCCAAACAGGCATCCCCTTCCCCACTCGGCACCCCATGGCCCAGCCCTGCAGCCCATGGCCCTACATGCCCCTGGCCCAGTCTGGCCCAACTCACCATCCACAGCACAGAGCCTGAGGGCTGCTCCAAGGGCTGAGCCCCGCTCCATCTTGTCTTCACCGTGGCCAGGCCGAAGTCACCGATCTTCACTGTGAGCCCCTCATGTAGGAAGATGTCCACCGTGGTCAAGGGCCACTACAAGACTCCCAATAGCCACACCTCTCACCCTGACTAGGAGGCTCTCATTAACACCTCCAAACCAGTCATGCCTCTAACCCTGACCAGAAGTCCCCCAATGTCACACAAACCCACAACCTTGACTTGAGTGGGAGCTCCAATTAGTGCCCCCTACACTTGGCCCCTTGACTTCTGAATAGGAAGCCCCACTAAGGGCACCCATACCCACCATACCTGTGACCCTGATCAGGAACTCTCTATAATGCCTTCCACAACTGCCACACAAACTCTGACCAGAGTCCCAAGAACAGCACCTGAACAAGCCACAACTCTGACTCCTGACCAGGAGACCCTACTAAAGGCTCCTCACCAGCCACAGCTCTGCCACCTGGCAAGGGCTATGTGACACATGCCCCTCCCTATTCATCCTCAGAACCCCCCCCCCCCGCAGCACAAGACACATCTCTCTAAGTCCTCACCCCACCCCAGCTCTGAGACTGGGACAGATAGATACTGTTAGACTTGAGATCCCGGTGGATGATGTTCTTGGCATGGAGGTAGCTGTGGGGTGGAAGTGGGTGGCAAATTGGCTGGGGGCTACCTCATCTCCCTCCCCCAGGTTCCCCAGCCCCCTTCCTAGTCCCTAGGCCAGGAGGCTCACTCCATGCCCTGGGCAGTCTGCCGGGCCACATCAATGAGCTGGACCATGTCGAAGCGTGTGTCGGCCACATGCAGGTGGTGGTAGAGGCTGGAGCCCTCGCACCACTGTGTGATGATGGCAAACCCCGGCCGGGTCATGAAGCCCATGAACAGCAAGATGTTGACATGACGTGTCTTCCTGCAGGCAGGGAGGGAAAAGAGCAACTGTCACTCACTTTCTGAGCATTAGGAATATGCTGTTCACTGCCCTCTCCTGTCATCATTTCCACCCTGCCTTTTAGGAAGCTCAGGGCCAGACCTAGTCAGATTCAATGATTCTGTGAGATATCTTTGCTGGGCTGATTCGGAGCTGGGGCTTACGTTCTGAGCTTCTTCATCCGAGTCTCCCAACAAAAGCAGGAGGGATGGATGACTACCCCCAACCCTCTGCCACCCAGTAGGGTCTTAATCACCAACACCTGCCATACCTCTGACCCTGACTATTACCTGGGCCTGTGACCATTCTACAAACAAGAAAGTGGAATGCCAACTTATCAATATTATGCTATAGCCGTGTAATATTGATAAATGCCAGGTAAAAATATCAGTGATGTGATTATATCCTATTGATCACCACAAGAGGCTTAGCAGTAAGGAAGTTGGTCTTTGGACTCAAGTGAGATCCTATGTTCCAATCCAGGCTTCCCCAGGTACTCACTGTGCAACCTCAGGAGGACACTTACTAGTAATCTGTGTCTCATTTTCCTCAAATGTGATAATTATATTAGCTATCTTATGCAGATGTTGGGAGTAAACAATCTGTAAGGCACATACAACAGCACCGAACACAAGTAAGCCCTCTGTAAAGGTCACTGTCCTTGTTATTGCTCCTAGGTACCTGGCTCTACCTCACGGGAACTCTGTCACATATGAATAGATCAACCCTAATTTAGAAGAAAACCTTCATTCCTTATAGAAGGATTAACTGCAGTTATGGTAGCACAAGTGTAAATACAGTTGACCCTTGAACAGCATAGGCTTGAACCGCACAGATCCACTTATACATGGATATTTTCCATAAATTACCTGTACAGTTTTCGATCTGAGGTTGGGAGTCCACGGATTCCGAAATCTGACTGTATGCACTGATCTACACCATTTTATATAAGGAATTTGAACATCTGAAGATTTTTGTGTCTGTTGGGGGGTCCTAGAACCAATCCGCATGGGGACAACTAAGTTTGGGGGGAGTCTAAAGTTCCACACAAATTTTTGACTGTGCAGGGAGGTCGGCACCCCTGACCCCCACATTGTTCAAGGGTCAACTGTAACATCAGTGATGCTCTGCGATTTTGCCATGTCAGAGCCGATAACAGCACATAAGCATTCTTCATGGCAGTCATATTATGGTTAAAACATTAATGTAATGCAAATTAACAGCATGCTCAAATCATTGCTATTTCACAGAGGAAAAAAGTTTTCTTACTATGGCATCCATTATGAGGATAAATATTAAAATAGCACAAGGGGTTAGAACATCAACTCTAACACAACTGTGCTCATCTGTCAGAGAGGAAAGCCCATGCCAGCAGGCCTTGCAGTGGTAGTAACTAGAGCGGCAAAAAGGGAACACTCAGCATAGATGAGCTAATATAGTATTAATGACATGTTAAGTAGAGCAACTACAATCATTAATTAAACAATAATTAAATTATGGTTATGATTATAGTTAATACTGTTGACCCTTGAGCAACACATGGGTTAGGAGCACTGATCCCCCATGCAGTTAAAAATCCACATATAATTTTCAACTCCCTAAAA